ATGATACGGGTAAGGAGGTAATTATGATGTACCTCGGATTTGGGAGGGGGGGTGAAGGGGAAGAAGGAAACACCACAATTCCAGCCAGCGCCAGGGAGAAGGTGGGTCCCTGCGAAGGCAATTATATGCGGGTGTGTGACTTGGTGGCTTTGACCCATGGGAACTGTGGTACCTGTATGAAGGTCTTCTGTGAGTTTAGGACTGGTCCGTGTAGCCTGACTGCAGCCGCCTCTGCCGTAGCCAACAAGCGCTGCCCAAGCAATTTTGAATTGCTTTATGGCACCTTCAAAATCCCTCTGAAGGCCTCTCTGCCGTCTACAGGGTGGTCTGTGTCTACCATATGGGCGAGGATCGAGATGTTGATGTTCTTTAACCTTTAACCTTTTCTTAACAACGATAAAAGATGTTCTTTTATTCTTTTGGATAAACGCCGGCTCGTGCGACCAATGTATTCTGTTCCACAGGAGCAGGTGAAGGAGAAAATACACGTAGAGGTAGTCTGAGCTGGTAGTTCGTCCTCGCCCTCTCCGTATAGGATAGGACTGGTTGAGAACGGTACGCGGGTATCAGCTGCTGGAAAGGTCTTTGATACGGCTTGAGTGGGCGTTATCTTAAAAGTTCACTTGGGGCGTCCCCTTGAAATGGGACTCTGATGAAGAACCTTTTCTTTCCTGCCGTCAGTATCGGGGACTTTTGTGGTCCTTCGGCCATGTTCTTAGCAATCAATTGATCAGAATACCCGTTCTGGCGAAAAAGGTCTTCGATGATTCCAAGTTCTTTTTAACGCTATCAGCTGAGCAGATTTTTCCCAATCTTTCTGTCAAACAGCGGATTGAAGAACGTCTAATGTTTAGCGGTACAAAACTCCCAAAACGGGCATAGTGTTCGAATCACTGGTTCGGTCCTGCTTCTCATAAGCTCATCCGGAAAGGGAAGTGAAAGGGGAGTGAACCTGACTGTCCTTCTTTCGGAGTGAATTTAATTGATAGGTGCGCCTGATTTGTATCATCCCGTAAATTTAAGATATCACTTTATTTCGATGCTATTTCCAATATATCATCCACGTACCGCCCATAGTATCATAAACGGTTGATCTAGTGAAGTAGCTGGAAAGCTTCTAACTTTCTTATGAATATATTCGCCAAAAGCGGGCCAAGGGGCTAGCCGATGGCTACGCCGTACATCTGCCTATATAGATTGTTATTGAATAGGAAGTGCACGTTCAAGATACACCCCTTTAACAATCTCTTGAGGGCATTGAGCGACATTCCTATATCCTACTGATTGTCGGCGATGAAATCACAAAGGCAGTTGACCGTTGCCGTTGCCGGTACGTTGGTAAAAAGGGATGAGACATCTGACGAAAACATGACCATTTCTTTCCATCTACTTGCCGGTATCTTTTAAGTAATTACTGCAATGGCCATAATAATGTACAGGTCTGAAGAGGATTTATCGAAAGCAGACGTATGCTCGCCAAATTGCCCTTATTAATTTTGCTATGGGAATTTTCACAACTGTAACATAGTTGTGATTTTCCGACTAAGATCAACACAGATGGCTAGAAAAGTTCTCACAGAAAGGCACACAAATTACCTTTGCAAATATGTCCTGTGTAGAAACGTATTAAAAGACATGTGCGATGGTGATGCAAGGATGGGATACATTTAGTTCTGGTCGACTTTTATAACATTCGTGACTATTCTTGTAGAGAGGGAAACAAGTAAATTTTACAGAATTCGTCGGAGTCACTTGCCGTGTCACATCACATCTACTTTTTCTCCAAATGGTGGAACAGGATCGAATTACCTCTCGGGACAGTTAGTGATATAACAATTCCGTCAAGCCAAACTGTATCTCAAGCAAAAACAACCGTTTTCCTGATTATAGTGTCTGAGTACCGCAAATGTGCATAATATCATCCATATCTGCTAGCTCATTAACTATCGTCCTAAGAGCCACTGCATTTCTATTTAATCTAAGACTGCGAAATTTTGAGACATTTGGCGTCCTTTTAAAAGATGGTAAGTTGTAAACCTCACAATATGCGAGTTCAAAAATAGACTTAACGTTTTTGCAAGCGTGGAATTATTATTTAACAGCAATCAAACGAACATGCGGCAAAGGTGGTGAAAGTGTTGCAGTCCTCACTTTCATTTATGAAGGAAAGGAACGGTGGATATATAAAAGCATGCCAGGTTTCGTCAATTAACACTACATAACATCACGTCGTGGTAAAACCGCCCTCGTTCAAGCCTTCCTTATCAATGCTCACAAACGGTGCGCCAATACATAAGCGTTACTGTATTAATTTAAGTAGATAATTGCGTTTAGTGGAAATATGTTTATGTGCGTAAGCACGAATCATGATAGCGATTGATGACTGGTGTTATTTTCCCATATACTTTTCCGAACTGAGCTTTGCCAATGACGACTGCGCCAGCGTGGGGGCTTGGTATAACGTCAACTGGCAATGACCAATAAACCGGAAGATTCTGCACATCGCTCAGGCATTGGCCGTAACACCCTCACTGTAAGCAGTGGCAATGACTGATGTATTTTAAAATGCCCATTTTGCATAACGGACATTTCAAAACAAGCTTGAAATAGATGCAGATAAAAATTGCCGATCGATGTACCCAATTTCAGTCTGTGCATAATTGTCTCCTTTTAAATCGATCCTTAATCGGTTAAACTTGGAATATTAGAATTGGTTGTATGTAGGACATTTGCCATCTCTGGAAGTATTGGGTTAATTTTTCTGATCAAGCGTTGTGAAAGCGTGTCGCTGAGTAATTATAGGGGCCGGGCTTGCTTGTCCATTAGCCGTCCATTTTATGCGCTAGTGAGCTCCGGACGACTGACGAATGATTTGGACACTCTTTCGACAAGCCGAGCCCAACATCATATTTTATGTCAGACTGCATTTTCACAATAAATGTATGAGCACGTGCGTGCCCCCACCGTTTATTTTCAGATGAATGTGTTTGCGCTGTCTGTATAACATTTCGGAATCGTCAGGGTGTTGGATTTAGACGCAGTAATTTTTCACTGTCTACAAAAGCCGCACTCGGTAAAAATGAAGATTAAATGATTATGCACTTTCACGGTGATTTCCGATTTTCTTAAAAATTCGAGTAGATGTCTTAGAAAATGCACACAATAACTATTCTTTCGATTAATCACTTTGTTGCAAATTGAGTTTTCTTTGATTTGTACCCTCGGAAAAATCGGGTGCCTTCCTGATGTACATTTCTTTAATTTGCGAGGAATGTTGAGTTCAAACTATCCTTTTTACTTGCATTTGGAGTTTTCCGTCCACAATTTGTACCTTTTTCGTGTAAGGATAAAAATACGTAAGTTTATACCACCGAGAAGATGCTATATAGAGCTTATTTAGTTTTATGGTGGAATCGAACTGTTACAATATTTTGTGCATGCACATTGGGCAGTCTTAAATTATTCTCTTAGCCAGTTATTTAAAGCTTAAAGGCATCATTTTAGTCGAGCATAAAGCATAACTAAGTTGTACTTTGCCGCCAAGAGATTGCAAGAAGGAATATTTATTATGCACGCTTACAGGAAAATATGCTTAAATTTTAAAGAAAGTCTAAAACCAATATGCGAGATCCATAGAAATTAAGCATTTGCTTTAACCGATTGCGGTTATTTAGGCGGCCGAAAAGCAATGCATCTAAAAGACAACATCTGGGGGAGACCGAAATATAATTGGACCTTATTAGCAACAGTGCAACCGTATATAACTAATCTTCCTAATCAAAAACTCGCTTCAGAATTTCAGCTGACATTAAGTGAGCCGATCGCTCTCTGGTATGTTTTATCCAACGGCTTCATTACGTCAAGAAGCGCGAGACATGTTCGAGATATTCTAAGTAAGCAGTCTTAGCGACGAAGGTCCAAAGTTACTAAGGCAGGTTTAAAGTAATCACAACGGTTTTTTGCCAAAAATATGGGTAAAATGGAGGCAGGTGTGAGTGGATTGTAAATGTTCATCCACTGCCGTACTCGTTTCTCTTATTTATGGAAATTGTCACCTCTTATATCAGCGTAAATTTTCCAGTGAAATTGGTTAAATGTATTCCGTTTCTTCATGTCTGCTATAGAAATCAGCCTTTGTGCAAGCATCTGGAGGGATTCGTCCATTTGCTTAAAATCTTAATTTTAACTACTTTGTTCTTCATAATTCTCCGCACGCTCTTAGGGCATTCAAAAGGAATCGAGAGATTCGTCACTGCACCACAGTAATAATGTTTGACAGCTGCCAGCAGCGTCTGACTTCCGTGAATTTCTTCGATCAGGCCCAACTCCCTTTTCTTCCCTTTCCCCCCTCAGCTTGCCCCGTCGTTTCGTCGCTGTCCCCAGATTATTCCCTAGAGACCTGAGCGGACAAAACCCCTCCTTGTCTTAACTGGAGTTTTGAGATGAGGTTTAAGTCGCTCTACCTTTCAAGAGCTCTCAAACCTAACTGGCAGTCTGTCTGCTTCCGACTTTGTTTGCGAGCATCCCTCCTTGGCTGTATGCTAAGCCCCAACTTCCGAAAAGGCGAATAGCACCTGACCCATTTCCACCTTGCATCCTCGTCTTGACAGCGCAAACAGCAGTCAATAGAAGAGAAGAGACGAGTCCCAGGAAGCAGTCTTGAAGAAGGAGATACGATAGCTGGAACAAGAACTTTATTAGCCTGAGGTTTCGGATCCCTGCTCGAACTCCGTATCTGCTTTTGTCGCTGATGATGGGTTCGAGCAGAAGCCCGAAACGTCAGGCTAATAAAAATACTGTTCCAGCTATCGAGTCTCTTTCTTCAAGACAAAAAGAAGTTTGCTATTTATCTTTAAATTTTCCCTCAAGAATCTGGTTTATCCTACAGCTAGCTTCTGAAGTAAAAACCGTATGACTGCAAAAGTTGTAGGCAGCGTAAGTTCATTCATCTGACAATTTATCATTCGCTTTTATCACTGTTCGCGTGTTCATCTCGAAAGTTAAATTGTATTCAGGGACCTCACGCCAAGGCTGACCTGACTGTTGGACAGAATGCACGTCACGGGCGCTTTCCGTGGCAATTTCTCTGTGAGTAAACAAATTGTTGCTTTCTTGATGGGAGGGGCATTGGGTGAGCATGGATGTTGAGCGTCGGACTTGACTGACTTACCGACTTCAAAGGGCTGTGGTAGAGCACAGGGACCCAACTTCTCCACCTTCACTTCAATGAGTTTGCCAAAACCGGCAGCGGAGAAACGGTTGACCAACTCCGGCAGCGTCTGCACACCGTTGCCGTGGTCGCCAAGGAGACGCTGGGTGAGCTTGGCCAGCTCTGCCCAGGGGCAGGTGAGATCCTGGTCCAGGTGACTGCCGCTTGCTGCGGCTGCTGGGCTGCGGGCACTGCGACGGTCAGCAAGTTGGTAGGTGTCCAGCTGAGGGTATCTGCGTTTTCTCGAATGTTCGGCGCTCCATGGGGTGCTCTTGCCGTCTTCTTTGAGGTAGACCAAAGATTTCTTGGCCCATATGACATTCAATGAATCACCTGTAATGAACAGTCATCCATTTTGTCAGCGGTCACAAGCTGTGCAAAACGTCAGAAGTGGTTACTGAATTGTTAATATTTCCAGGCAGCGGAGAGATTGGCAGCGGAAAGGGGCATATTCGGGACATACTTTTTAGTAGTAAATGATAGAGTTCTGATCCGGCACCACACCATACGGACTCATGAGAATGCAATTAACGGATTGAGAAGACACGAGACTGAGGAAGTAAGTGGTTAATAATGTCGATGATGACGACTTTGGGGAGAAGGAGGAGGAAGGAGAGAAGTAGGAGGAGGACAACGAAGAAACGTTGAAAGCCTAGATCAGCAAAGCAGGTGAGGAATGAGATTCAGATTACATGCTAAAGAAGGGTTCTCCATTTCGTCGACGGCCTGGTTAGCACGCCTATTGCTTAACTGTCGACGACTCCGTAATGTCTATCAGCAGAATTTAAGCTCGTGCATGGGAAGCAGTGACAGTTTAGTCTGTCGGATGACGAATGCAGGTCAACAATAAAGCTGTGTAGACTCTAACTAGGACGACCTTAGAAGGACAAAGGGTTGCAGCCGATCTAGGAAAGGTCCCGGCTAAACGGGCAAGTCAAAGTTCATGCTTTGAGCATGGTCATAATACAAAGTAGGTGTAAGGTTGAAAAAGTCGAACCCAGCAGAAATCACCACCGTGGCATGCTGATGATGGAGGCGAGAATGTATCCGAAACGTCAGTGGAAATAAACCTTGGTCCGTGGACGCGTCTTCTTTTAGTGTCTGTCATCTTCGAGGAATTATGAACGCGATATGGGAGGAGATGCCACGGCCTATCACCTGGAATGATGACTTAATCTTCTGACTTTTCACACTCGTGCTTGGGCGCACTATTGTCGATAGGAAAAGGTGGGAAATAAAGGGCTTAAAGCTGTCTCACTTCCTCATCACAGTGGTCCTTTTTTCGTGTGCAAGTAGTGTCTACTGACCCCATTTGGGGTTGGTAGGTCGTTTCTATGGTTGATCAAATTGCGTCAAATATGCCGGTCTTGTGTTTCGTCCTCACACTTGTCATTTTGCTCTCGGCTCGGCGGAGTACTTGTACATTGTCACCGTTAAACTGGTGATTACTTCTTAGGCAGTGTACGAAGATATATGATCTATCACCTTTTCGCTTCAAGGTAAGAACCTGCCCACGTACGTGCGCTCTTGGTCTTTTTTTCGATCCCTCCACAGTAGTCGGCTGCTCAGTGTATACTCTGTAAACAATGTTTTATGTGCGCTTAAACGGTAGCCGATCCTTTCAGCTGCATGAGCAATTGGTAAATAGTGACTCCCGGCCGATGCCGTGGACCCGCGTTCAGTGACCACGGCACGCCTTCAGCGTCCTCATAGACTTCCCCACGTACAGTGGGTGGGGGTTTTCGCTTTGAATTGATTAATTTAGTAGGGTCGTGAACTTAATAATCGTGAAGAATAATTCTATATTTATTCAGTTACCTTAGAATGTCGACTTTCGTGCGAAATACTCTGCAAAAAATGATTACTACAGAAGCATGAATTTTTCTCTTTGATGTTCGGTGCCCTTAAAACGTCAATCATATTTCGTCGAAAACATGAATAAAAATATTCAAACTCTTATTCATTCGGAAAAAATTACGTCTTCTTTCAAGTTTTTACTCAAAGGAATGGTATAATCCGGTTTTCGAAAATCTTCCAATCCCAGAATACTCTGAACTCCGACCTGCTTTTACACGTGTATTCAGGGTTTCCAAACTACAAGCCGTCAATTCCAGCGTACAGAAAGCCATTCATTTTTCTACGGTAGTATAAGGAGCTCATGTGAGGTTCATAAAATTTAATGGTGGATTTGAGCTTTATTGTGAACATTGCAGGTAACATTAGCAAATGCAGAGACGTGATGTTTTATCAACGGCCATTTCACAGTATTAAAGAAATCTCACAATCAATTATCTTTTTAAAACCGAATTTTACCCTTCGTTTAAGTATAAAATGGGAAGAGGACGTAATTTTCTACCGAATGAGCAAAAGATGGAATATTTGTATGCATGTCTTAAATGAAATATAAAGGAAATTTAAGGGCACTGAAAATCGATAGGAATTATGCTGTATGATAAACAGTTTTACAGCCCCTTTTAATTAATCATTTCAAAACCAAAACACATTTCGGAATTCCGGTTGACATTTCATGAGGAAGCCCACTTACAATATATTCAGAATGATTACTGCTACACATGATCCCAAAGAGCTTGAGATAAACTGCTGCTTTAGGATGAAGTTATTATAAAGCTAGAAATATGCTGTCACTCAGAAAAGGGGGTTGCATCCGACATTTTACGAGAAAACTGTAACATGGACGTTTTTGTTGTTGAGTTGTTGTCCAGACGTTTACGTTATCATTCTTTTCAAGGTTAACCCCGATCAATTTCGATGAAGACAATCTGACTCTTGCTGTAATCCTAAAATCCTTTATTTACACGTCAACTACATCACAAGCATTTAAAGGGGCCAATTAATTTTTACGTAGTTGCCTGCAGAATTCCCAACTCTTGTATTAAAATGCACACTTTTAATAGGGTGAATTCGCTGCATCAGTTTTTGTTTGTCAAGATACGCTTAATGAGAAACGCTGTCGACGCTGGCTAGTGTTGAAGTGCATGATACTGAAGTTAAGCCCCCCGGGACTTAAGGTGGACACCTGGCTGTCGTCAGACCGCGAACGCCATTAGCGCTTGACACCAAATGTCACCGTCCACTTCTCTACTGCCCAGTCTCGATCGAGAGCTGACAGGTAAACCCCTCCTGATGACTGGCACGAAATGCACACTAAGGGATTTTATTCATGATGTGCCGCAGCGCTCCGACGTATCAAAATCCCACGCACTCTTGCCAACATTAATATTGGGTTGCAGAAGCGAAGATCATAAACTGTGTATTTGACCTTTCTTAAATTAACTTGCATCGTCAGTTTTTACTGACGAATTGTTTAAATATGGTCACTTCAAAGTTGTGAAAACGGTTGAGGAAAAGTCTGCTATCCGGCAGACATTGCTTGTTCGCCTTTTTGCAGAATAACCGTATTTATTTGCTGCAGCTGCGGCATACAGTGCATAAGCGCGAGACTGAGTGTTTTAGTTTCCAGATCTTCAGGGCTCGGAAAACTGTAAGTATGGCTCCCTTATTTCTTTCTCCATGTTCTCGATAGTCGTCAAGTACCCACTTTGTCTGCCAATATGTCCGATAGGCCTTTTGCCACGTTTAATAATCTGCCTTACTACTTGCTTTCCTCCCGACTGCTCCGGTGGAATATCGCTCGCCAGTGTATTTTGCTCCTCATCGCACACATGCGACTGTAATCCGCTATTCTCCTCCCGGGTGACCGCTATACTTTTGAGGTACTCATCCGATAACTGAAACAGCGTGCAACGAAAACTGCTAGGCAATGACAAACAACCCAGCAAGTACAAAATAGCCTTTGCGACAGTCAGCATTATATGTTTTATGCACGTATGACACGCTTATCGGTTTTAACTATTGTTCTCACAAAGCCCGAGAGTTGTCATCGAGAGGGGCCATTTGCAGCAGCTCGGCCTTCGTGAGTGACGATGTCCGCTGTCGATGTGAATTATATTATATTGATGACGTATCTCAGTTCAGTTTCTTAGGGGAAATATAGGCGAACGCCTTCAATCTCCCTAGGAGTCACAAATCGTCCTAGAAGTGCACCGATAAATGAAAAGTTGAAAGGGAGATTTTGTGTTCATTAAGTCGTCTGATAACATCGGCGTTATGAATTGTCCCACCCCCATTAGGTCAGAGTGACCACGTGGTTCTCATGTGGGAATACACCTTATTCTCTCTGCCTGCATAACCACTCGATTCCCGACCAAATATTTGGCGCGACTTTGCATCCACATTCTCCGACGACACTGAAGAGATTTGATGGCAGTTTAAAGAGATAGTCCACAACCTCATCTCCAACCACTGCCCAATCAGACGCAGAAGACCACCTAGTAGAACCCGCTGGTTGACTCTGTCCTTAAAGAAGTAAGACAACAAGGAGAGGAAGCTATGAAAAAATCCCTCATTTACTGGACGCCTGGATCCCTAAGCAGTTATAAGTTACAGAAAAACCGCATAAAAATTCTCATCTCCAGAGATTTGAACCGTGCCATGGTTAATCCCAAAGTCATTTATATTTACATAATGCTGAAGTGCCTACCTCACTCTGTATCTGGTCAAAACAATCAGAGGTGAGCTCGGAAGCAATGAATGACATTGCTCAACAGTCCTTTTACGCGTGCCACACATGTCTAATCCGCAGAGGATAGGCAACGCTAGGCATTTAGCAACCGCTCCAGGGCCCCTTTGTCAATCGACGACTGCCACAACCAGTCTAACCCCTCCGGCCTGAGCTGGGGCGGCCATAATGATCCAAGGCTGCACACACAAACGTTCACCGCCTACCGAGCGTCGGACTGCCTGGCTTGTTACCCGTGAGCCCTTGTTATCATTTCCCCCGACTCTGACCTAAAAACAACCAACATTATATCTAGCATTCAGCTACACATTCCCTCAAGCCGACACGGACATATAACACGCGCGTGAACATCACACGGCGACTGACGCTCTCTCGAATGGACGTTTTGCTCGGAGCCAGGCAAACAGCCAACTCACGACATCCTCCCCTGAGTACAGAATAAACTAACTCTCACCGCCCTTTGACTTCTAACATTTGATGACTCGAAACTACTGTGTGTGTGATTGTAGTTCATTTCACATCCTGTTACGTTGACCTCATCCCAAGTATACAGTAGGTGTGCTAACTCATGAAATGTCAACTGAAATGCGTTTTCGTTTCGAAAAGATTAATTACTTAGGGTTGTAAAACTAATTTGCCTGCAATATAATTTATAATAATTTAGTCACTTCTGGATGCCGGCCTTTGAACGAACTTCCTGTCGGCTGCACGCAAAACTACACTCTGTGAAAACTGACTAGTTATGTAGTAAGAATTTTTCTCATTGGTTTTCGATTCCCCCTAAAAGTCCAATTATATTCCATGGAAAACATGAACAAAAATATTTATTCTTGTGAGCATTTGGTAGAAACTTGTGTCTTCTTCTAAATTTTTACTCGAAAGAAGGGTATAATCCGGTTTTAAAAGGTTTCTAATTGTGAGACTTTTTAATACAGTGAAATGGCCGTTCATAAAACGTAATGCCTCTGCATTTGCCAATGTGGCTTTGCAAGTTAACAATATGGATCAAATACAATGCTAACGAACCCCTTATGGTCTCCTCATAATACAGTAGATAAATGTGTGGTTTTACGTACGCGGAAAATACATGTCTCGTAGTTTGAAATACTGACTGCAAGTGTGGCGGCAGAGTAGGTTCAAAATTATTTGGAAATTGGGAAAGTTTTTAAAAACTGACAAATAACCTTATTTCGAGCACAAAATTGGAAGAAGACGCAATCTTCTATCAAATGAGCGAATGAATGAACATGTTAATGCATGTTTTTCATAAATTCTAATTGGACTCTTAGGGGCATCGAACATCAATGAGAAACATGCACGCCACTTAGTTAATCATTTTTTGCAGAGGATAGGTTTTACATGCAGCCGGAACTAAGTTCATTCGAAAGCCGGTATCCTGCGGTAACTGAAGTATTATAAAAATATGCTTCGGGCTGACTATTTTTACAACCCTACTTAATTAATCTTTTCGAAATGAAAAGGCATTTCGAAATTTCCGTTGGCATTTCATGAGTTAGCCTACCTACTCTAGGTGAAACCTAGGTATTGAAAGTAAAATAAGCCCTAGCGGGATGCTGAAATCGTTAGTGGAGACAGCAGCCGAGGCTGAAACGGAGAAGCCAACCTGATGTATGAAAAATCTGCGTGAAATTGAGGGAAGCCTAGAATTCCTGCAAAACCCTGGCCGGCGGGACACTCGGGGTGGCAGTATACCAAATGTAATGGTGAACGTGATCGTAACCGCAAATTTAGATCTAATGCTTAAGGTAATTATACACCTAACGCTTAGCCTAAACTTCGCACTAACCCTAAACCAACTCCAACCCTAAGCCTAACTCTAACTCTGACTCAAATCCTCGCCCTAACCCAAACCTTAACCTAAACCGTAACCAAAACCCTGACCTTAACCATGGCCCTAACCCTAACCCCAACCAAAACACCAAATTTGAACGTAAACAGCCATCCAAAACCTAAATCCAAATGGAACCTTTAAACCTCTTCAAAATAAAACATCCGGTTACCCTTTTCCGTTTTAGCTTTGGCAACTTTCGAACTAACGACTTCAGTCTCCTCCTCCGACTTACTTCCCTTGCAATGTCCACATTGCACTTGTACTTGAGACCAGAACAGCGTAATCGACCACAAGCGCAGCTTGCAACCAAAGACCCCCGAAGTGGCCACCATTCTGTCCGAAATCTAGCAATCAAATAATGATAATCGTGCTGGATATTATCATGACCGCAAAAATCCTTATTCATAGTTTACAAAATACTAGAGATTTGAACGAAGAGTGAGTTCTAGCCAGCCAACGATGGGTGACATTCGTGCTGCACAGTTGAGAAACCTAGCTCTCCTGCGTAGGCGGTGGTTGCTAATCTCTGGGGAGAAACTTTGTGCGACAACGAGAATGCTTTTTAAAATCTGGTTGGAAAAAATTATTAACCAAACTAGTAATGGCATCCGAACAGCAGTTTAAGGGTCAGCTAGCCGAAAGGATATTTCGAGGAGCTTAATAAGAGAAATTTTCTAAGGAAGTTTACGAACAAATCGATACCCTTCCAAATATTCTGCGACCAAATGAAGACAATTCTTTCCGATAAAGTAAAAAAAATTAATCAAAAAAATGGAATTTTTAGATGATGCAGTTTTGTCTAAACATTGAACCATAGGTTGTGCGCGGTTTTCAAAGCAATACTTACCGACGCTGTCACGAGACAGGATAAACTAGGAGACTACATTTACCCAGGTTTTTGAAACTTTCGGATAAGCTAACAGTTTCTACAACGTGGTTTGAAAGAAAATCGCTTTTACTTTGTCCTGTGATAGCCAGTACTCGCCCATATAGCCGCTTGAAACGACCATTGCACTATCAACATGGCTACTAGCCAAAAGTCTTATTAGGAAGAGACGTAACCTGCTTGCATTCCTCGTCGGTAATCCCTCTGAAGTATTCGCTACAATCATTGGTGAATATTATTCAAGAAAGAGAAACAGTTTGACCCAGTATAAGGCTAAAATGAACAAGAGGAATAGGATTAACTTGTATCAAAACTTTGACGACGGCTTATCAACTGCTTGTTCTGGCTGCGTGAAATGAATAGCAAGTACTGCATGCACAACAGGTTTACTTCAGTCACAAAATTCACATAATATTAATGACGTTGTAGCTACAAAGCCTAACCTACTCGATGCAAAATATCATTTACAGCATAACAGAATAGGAGAAGAACAGTATATTACACAACGGAATGTGCTGATCAAGAAGCTAGGTTTTACCAGGGCATAATCAGATTTACGAGATCTGGTTTTTGAAAAAGTCAGGTTTCGCCCTCCGTAGGTAGGCTTTTTTACGTGGTCCGGAGTTAACGATGTAGACGTAAGGCTGACTAAGGTCAATAGCGTCCACTAAACAGGAGATGATTAGTGATATATTAGGACGAAATTCCGTTTTCTGACATTAAGAGCTACTTAAAAAAGATCTCAACTGACCCAGTCAGTTGCCTTTTTGTTGGCTTAATGAGCTTTCGCCCATAAGTGTCAATGAATCCGCAAGCACAGTATGAGTTGGGCTGAAATAGGAAAGCCTCCCTTTTCTCTTTAACTGAGCTGAGCTGCGTCATAAATGTTTCGATGATGCATCAAAACTGTCGTTTGGTAACGACTGAAACATTGTCGCCCCTACTATCTGAGGTTGCGTTTTGGCTGACGAATCCTGACTGTGGTAGCGCAGAAAAGCAATTGTTTCCATTTCTTCCCCAGGAGCTCATAACCGATTTCCTTTACGTTACATCGACGCAGAATTCGAGAACTGTAGATACAAAAATTCCTAGCATTCTTGCGAAAAGGGATCATTTGACTTTACCACCTTACTGTCTCCGCAAACAGACGTTCATGTAAAAAACACTTTGCTGTTCTGTACTCTTTCGGTTGCGAAATTAATAGTTTGCGATGCAGACCACTCCCGGCAATAATTAAGTTCTTCGAGTTTTCGTACTTATTTACAACCCTGAATATGTTATCCATGTTTCATCCACAGAATGTGTTTATATTTATTTTTATTGGCCCTTTTTCTTCTTAGTAAACATAAAGACGTTGCATAGGATTAGGCAGACTGGACATACCCCTGCTACATCTGCAGCTTTCCTGAGTATCTTCCACCCGTTGCATGATGATTCCACGCCGTCCATGCTATATAACAACAGGAACCACTCGATGGGTTGTCAGGGATTTTCGACACCTATAAATCATACTGCTTACGCTTTCTTTAGATTATGCACAGGCATAATAAGATAGGGGTCTAAAAGTCTGACGTCAAAACTTACGCTGAGAAATAATCACTCTTCTCAATACACGAACACGTTCTGCCGAATGCCTCATATCTGAGTAAAATAAACTGCGTAGAGTAATCGCACCCATAGGAATGCGGTTTCTAACGTTACCCTAAACGCTTATGCTTAGCACAAGCATGGTGTGGATCTCTGCAATGATTTAAACACGTGCACTGATTTATTTACTGGAAATGCGTGAGTCTTTCCGTGAGTAAATTAGGGCAAAATAATCGCACCCCGGGGGTGGTAGGTGTCGGACTAAGAGGTATTATTCGGTTGACGTTTTAAGTGATCGGAGTTTATTTTGACAGATAATATGCAGTTATTAAGATATTTGCAAAGTGTGTGCCATTCTGACAGTCGTTGTTGACAGGACTAACTTAGATTATGATAAAAATGTTTATCCTTAAATTGCAGTCTGGGGTACTTTGTCTGAAAAGGCAGTAATTCTCAAGCGCGTAGCAGACAGACATGATTTGGCCCGTTGGAAGTCCGCGCATTAACAAGAAAACTTCCAACCTACGCGAGGCAGCCCCTAGCCTCGCCAGCGTAGCTCGTAAACATGGATGTCCGACTGAAATACAGGAGTTAGAAGATTCCGATGTAATGAATAAACTCTCAGCTTTCCGTTTATGATACTTTGCGGTTAAATCTCATGCAATCGACAGTATCCTATCTGAGAATCAAAGACTCAAGCGCTAAAACAATCACATTACTCGCTTGGCTTTTCGGATCTACACCCGGGCTCATCATGAAAGGCAGTAAAAATGACTGTCTCATTTAATCCTATTTACAGTAACACGTATGGCTGAAGATATGAGTGACTATAGCATTCCTCTCTCAAAACTTGCTGACTGCTTTTAACAAATAATCTACGTAACATCCTATAAAGATGTTGTCGATCAAGAACAACAGGTTTTCTCGATCAAAACTTCTAGGACTTCTCACTGCGAATGCAAACAGGCAGGTTGACTTTGATTTCAGCGCCAAAAAATGCGAATTCACTGGATGAGCAGAGATCTAGGATTTTCTTTAGTTGGAAGCAGAGAATAGCTCATGCGTAACACCATGGAGGAGGAGTTAAATCAATTTACTACCCGCATCCCCATTGGCTAATGCAAATAATTCAAGGTCATTTTGCCAACGGCGAGTACCTGATCCCAGAATCCAAAGAATGAACACGCTTACAGGATGCAGGCAAATTTAACACCCAACTGGTTTCTTGAGAAAATCAGGTAGTCATCGCGACAGCCTACGTGAAAGTTAATTTGTTTGTTTTCAAGCGCGTCAGGTTTATGAAGAAGATTTCAGCTTAAGGCGGCAAAGTTCGCGTACGCCGCATCGCTTGCTTTCTAACCGTTTGTCTGCCATCTACTATGTTCCATATTTTAACCAGTCGCTCATCAAGTGCTAATAAAGGCTAGTGACGATTACTTTATGTTTTTTTCCGGAAAAAAATTATTTGCCTGCGCTATATCCAAAATAATACTTAGGACGGTTCTGACATCATTCATCAAGATAACTGATTCTGAGCAGAAGAAGAAGCGATCGCTGGAACAATGGCTTTATTCGCCTGACGTTCCGGATTCTCTCTTGAATCCATCATCAGAGACAGTTGCAGAAAAGGGTGGCTCGTGTACAGGAAGTCGCAGTATTTATAGGATGCGGTCGCCATGCTGCACGGGTAGCTACACGGGTGTAGCAATCATTTCTTTATATTAGCTTATAAGTAGTTTTTGTCGACCAAAACATTCTAGAATTTCCAAAGTCGTTTGCGATACGATGGAGAGGCAGCAACCAAAAAATGCTGATTCTGGTAGGGGATTCCGAGACGAGAACTGTTAATCACGCATAATCCTTGAGAGAAGCAATCACCTTCAGTAAACTGAAAACGCGCTATCCATGGGATGAAAGACGCTACTATAGCATGAATCCTAACCTCAAAGGTCTACTGTAGCCTGATTCCTACTCTAATAGATACTGGTCGAAATTCAGAATCAGATTTTAAGTGCGTCGCCTAGATTGAGCAAATTAAATCCAAATTAAATAACGACAATTAGACAACAAACGTCTCTTTACTGTCGTGTAGCATTGCTACGAAGTGGACTTAATCTTCATTCAAAATACGCCAGTACTGTCTATCAAAGTGCCCTGAAGTTAATGTTGTCCCTTCTGCGAGTTTTTTCAAAGTCTCAATCTTGCTGTCTACTCCAGTCCTCCCGGTCCTATGCGCTCAGAAGAACTTTACACAGGTTCCACAGTCGCCGTTGACCAAAGCCATCAAACTAGCCACCGGCATATAAGTACCTTTTCCTGACGCTGACTGGAGCTTTGAGTGTTTCACTTCTCCTCCCGAATTGATAGATGTGCGCACCTGCATTCGAGCCAATGCAAGTCTCCAGATTATTGACAGTTCTGTGATCGTAGCCAGCCTGAATACATCACCGATAAACTGGCCATATGTTGGATCGCATTGATGAATCTGCTTCTGCTTACCGTAGAATGATCTGAATCAACGTCGCTGCATGTAGCTTGTGTATTCAGAAGTACCCATCATCAGTACACTGATACAATCCAAGGACCCAAGGACTATAAATGCGCAAGCCCTGATCCCGATAATTCTCTACGGAATCGTCATTGTTCCCGTCGGCAAGTGCATTTTCAACTAAAAAGCAGTCATGGCTGTACATACGGCGCCCTGTAGATCGGGTTTCGTCAGTGTATCATTACGCTTTCCACTCCTACTGAAAGATAACATTAAAAACAGATTTCCTGGCAACAGTTGAACCAGTCGACCTCTGTATTTGAGATCTACCAGTATGCTTTAACACATCTTCCAGTTGCAACAATGTAAGACAGAGTGTTGTTGAATTCTATAAGCAATCGAACATGCATAGTAGATGTCAGGTGAGTAGTCGACTAAGCTCCCTCAGCTAATAACTAACCGTCCAAAATTCCAACGTCAGCATTGAGTTTCAACTAGACGAACTCCATCTTAGATGGATTTGTGTGACAATGAGGTTGGCTGAGAAAAACTTAAGGTTTGTGCATTTCATTTCTATGTTGGAAAGTGGGGAAGACTGCCTTTGTAGACAACCTAATATCGAGAATTTTAGCCATTTGAGCAGTAAGAGGTTCTGGGAGTGATGTGGACTACGGACGAAACGTATTTTCCAGATTTTTAACGTACTGAACGATAAACGATGTGAAACATTTTGATTTTCAATGTACTAATGCTCAGTCAATTTACTCAACTCCTACTAACAACATACTTTCAAGAACTGAAAGAAGTCAGAAAGGGGTGGCAGGGTCTCTAGGGTTTCTGCATTTGCATTTTGCAGCCTAAATTAGCAGGGTTGGGAACTCATCTACAGAAACTGCATAGCTGTCATTTCATGATGCACAGATCTCATCCATGTGTCATGCCTTTACTTTACGTTTTCACTGACGATTGTGGGTGAGATACAGCCTTGTTTGGGTGAGGTGCGTGACACACACACTATTCGTGAGAGTGAATAGTTTCACTGGCCGTAGACAGATTGATGTGACAAGCGAAGAGGCAGTTATTCACACACAACTCGCACTCCCGAGTTCGGCAGCAGATTTCACTAGCTGGGACAGTAAACCGTAAACACACACGCATTTTCATTCAGAACAGATTCCAAAACATCAACACCTGCGTAGTCCACAAGTTTTGGTGATTTCATGGTCCTTCGGCAAGACTTAAAACGGCGTTTACTTCAATAACATAACCGTTTTACTTCGAGAGATCTCAATCGCTGTGGGTATGTTTATTGCTGTTTAAGCAAGCAAACAGTCTCTGGGTAATTTTAAGTGGCATGTTTTTGCTTGGTTCACTTACTCGGCAGTGCTCCTCTGGTACTTGCGTAAGCTGATCAGCACTCACCTCTGCTGTTCCTAGTTTACTCATTTCCTCAGAAATTCGTTGATTTAGTTCGCATCAGAGTACCATCCGTCAACAGGCATCTAGACCTTCCTGCGATCTACAAAGCTCTACGACACTACCTGCGCCGTGACCAGGATCAGACAATCACATGCAGCTTAAAAATACCAGTAAAATACGATTCGTCAACTAACTCACCCGAAGGTGCAGCCCGGGTGCAACCGAGTCCCATTGAGGTGACGATACGCAACGCACAATGTCGTCAACATTCAAAAAAACGGCCAGAAGGCCAGGGCAGCAAAAGAAAAAAAAGATCGATCGGCCCAAGACCAACTGATTCAACCGTTTACTTAAAATTCTGGTCGCTTTTAGCATAAAATGCGAAGAATCCTAATTTATGTTTGATATTTGAACTTTTCGTTCTAATCCAAAGATATGTCTCAGCATTTACGCATGAATATGCGCACACCGACCACACATTTTCTACATATTCTTCTTCTACTCTTAACGGATGCGATCTACTGACTACGCCGGTAAACTTTCTCAGAACCAGCGCTACTACTTTAGCGCCGCCGCGGTCCCCCCCCCCTCCCCCAACCTACTTTCAGAACATGGGCACATGTACGGTAGGTGGGCTAACTCATGAAATGTCAACCGAAATTCCGAAATGTGCTTTCGTTTCCAAATGATTAATTAAGTAGGGATGAAAAACCAATCATTGTGCGGAATAATTCCATTATAATTCAGTTACCTCAGGATGCCAGTTTTCAAACAAACTTATTTTCGGCTGCACGCAGGGACTACACTTTTTAAAAAATGGCTGCTTAATTAGGATGCATTTTTCTTGTTCATTTTCGATGCCCCTAAAAGTCCAATTATATTTTAGGGAAAACATGCACAAAAATTTTCGTTTTCTTTCTTATTCGGTGGAAAATTACATCTTATTCCAATTTTTACTCGAAGGAAGGGTTTAATTCGGTTTCTAAAAACTCTTTCAATTCGCGAATAATTTTGAGCTCGAAATGCTATTTTACATGCATTTAGGGTTTGCAAACTACGCTCCGTATGTTTTCCGCGTACGGAAAACCCTAAATCTCTATACGGCATTCAGAGGAGATTATATGGAGTTCATAGGATTTAGCACTGGATAAGAGCAATATTGTTAACCTTGAAAGCAAATTTAGTACATGCAGAGTCATGACGATTTATGGGCGGCCATTTCACGGTTTTAAAAGACCTCACAATTAGAAACTTTCTTAAAACCAAAGTATACCCTTCCTTTGAGTATATAATTGAAGGGGGATGCAATGAATGAATAATTTTATGAATGTATCCCATGAAATATAACTGACTTTTTAAGGGCGCCGAACATCAACGAAAACAATGCATGCTACATAAGTAGTCATTTATCACAGAGTGTGGTTCCTGCATTCAGCCGAAAAGACGTTCGTTCGAAAGCCGGCATCGCGAGGTAGCTGAGGTGTCATAGAATTATGCTGCGCAGTAATTTGTTTGACAACCCTACTTAATAAAACGCATTTCGGAATTTCGGTTATTATCTCATGAGTTAGGCGACCAACTGTAAAATGCGCCACATCGTTTGGTCACTTCCTTCTAGTATTATCGGTCGACCAATGACGTCTGCTTCCCGTGAAAATTCTTGTCCCAACGACAATAAAGAAAAGGACTTTCATGTTACCCCTGCACTAGACCCTTTACATCTACGGTATCGCTTTCAGAGTTGGAATCGGTCAAGCGGGCTAGACTTACCGCTTGTGGCGATGTTTATGAGGAGGATATCCAAGTCATCGGCACAGGCCGGCTTTCCCTTGCATTCTGGTCGCAGGTATCCGTCCAGTGTGAGGAGGAATAGCCACTTTCGACTCAGGGTCTGAAGCATGTGGGTGCGCATATCCGAGCGCACGGCGTAGGCCGCCTCAAAACGGAGCAGAACCCTGTGATTGGGCACCTCGGGCAGGCGTGGGTTCTTCTCCAGCACTTCCACGAATATGCGGGACACCGTGCTCACCGGGGAACTGCCCATCAAGCTGAGAACATGGAGGGGAGGGGAGGAAGGGGAGAGGCGTAAGAATCAGTTTCAGCTTTGTCTGCTTTCTCCCTTTGTCAATACGCCCTTTTTGGTCGGGTGTTTTTATGTAGCCGCACCTGAGGTAAACAAACACCAGCCACCTGTGATGCGGGACCGGTGGTAATAGGGGTTTTTGCAGGTGGGACCGGGGACACACAGACGATGAGATCAAGTAATGTTGTACAAAATGATGCCTGGTTGTAGTTTGAGTGGTTGAGGTATAGTTGCCTTAACTCATAGCCATAAGACCTAACCCATAACCCTGTGTCTAACTCCAAACCCCAACAATAACCCCTTCTCCGTAGCACTAACCCCTAGCCACAACACTCCATTCATTGTTAGGGGGCGCTCACCGATCGTTCATACGGAACTCACTCGTTCCGTTGTGCCTTAAGGGCTCTCTCTCGAGCCCAACCAGCAGCCGCGCAGCGGCGCATGATATATAGGCAGAATGATATTACCGACAAAGACAAGGGAGACTGGAATGGCCATTTCTGGCTTATTAGCCGTCGTCAGCCAGCCATACCCAAGCCCGAAGTGTGCAACACCCGAGCCTCGAACTCGCGACCTGTTGGTTTAGAAGTCAACGCCTCTACTCAATTCATTACCCTAACGCCTAACTCCTGACACTTAAGCCTTGACCTAACCCCAAACCCTAATCCTTGGTCTCAGCCCCAAGCCCTGATTCTGAAACATCCAACGCAAAAGTTAGAAGGAGACGACAAGCCGAAACTCAAGAAGGACCACCGGTACTGAACCAATAAAAGACAGACACGGCAACAAAGAAGCAAGGCCGCCAACAGAGCACACACCGCACCGCACGGAAACACAATGCCAACGTCATCATATCCACTAAAATAAGTAAGTAGACCAACGTATTGTGTCCATCAGGTGCGGCTATAGAACCGCATCTTAGTCCCATTTTTCCTGAGAGGAAGTGCTGGCTTGAGAATCAGCCCGCTTAATACCAACAAATGCTTGAGCCGGAGAGTTGCGCCTTCCGGAGTTGTGTTTAAAGCTACCCTCGTCAACCGTACTTTGCCAATAATTTATAGGCTTTTTACAAAACTCCCAGAAGGCGCACTCTGGACGCGGATAAGCGAAAGCCTAGCAGGAAACCAAAATAGCAATGAAAATCACCCTTGGCGGGCACTGGGAGGTTGTTGTTAGAGGTAAAGAAGGAACATAGCGAGAACACCGAGTGAACGGAAGTGAATGAGAACACACTGTACGACCAGACCTTGACACACAAACAGGGTGTAGTGTGAGCGGAAATAGCAAAAATATATACGGATAAAAAAAAGTGGACAAAGGCGGAATTTGTGACCTTAAAGGCAGCCTGATGTTGACGCGGAAGTGGAGACCGAGAAAAATAGCCCATGGAGTCAGACAGATTCTATAGAACTACGGACGTGAACTGAGGCATAATAAACCGAAGATAAAGAAATGCGAAAAAGAAAGGAAATCAGACGGCATACTTGTAACACAAACACAAGACTGACGAAAATTAGTAAGAAGAAGAGGTTATCCAGCTCCACGGGGCATATGGGATCACAAGGAAGGCGAGTTACTACGGACGTGCAGTAGATGACTAGTAAGATCACGACAAGTCCTACTTCAAAACAGCTTTCCAACTCTGGCCGTCGGGTTCTGTATCGCGTATTACAACTGTGCGTTACCGCAGGCAAGGTCCCAGTCCCATATTAACATTTAACATTTCAACATTCCCCTTCCTTTTGGATCGCTTGACGAGCCATTTTTACTCTGTATGAGACTTAAACCATGGTTGCAGGTCAGCCGTTTTGGGAGGTTCTTTGTTGTGGCAACAAAGGAATCTGCGAGTTGTTTGGGGTCCGCGCAGAGAGCCTGATCAGATTTGTCGGCCACTGTGTCGAACCTAATCGCTTGTTGTTTGGGAGACTCAAACAGCCGACTGGGGCGCAGGCGAAAATATAAAGGATGAAACGGCCACGGTGAAATTCATCCACACAGCATACCGACGTATCGGATACATTTGGATCCATCGCAAAGCACATAGACGCATAGCCTGGATAACTCGGCCCGCATTGTCAGTTTGCGGGAGTGGCTGGATTTTTATGGTACTCCCACTGGGGTGAGGCACGAGTCGCCATTACAGCAGACTGGTCCCGCGTGTGGTTCGCACGGACGGGTCGACCAAATTCGTCAGCCACTGAGACGCTGCCAATCTCCGGTAATCTTGTCTGTCACCTCCTATCAGAGTAAGTTCGACGAATCAAGGTCGAGTGCGGTTGGTGCTCTGCAAGCCTCCCCCCCCCCCCCGTAATTCGCGCACACGTCATAGGCGCTGCGATCAGGCCTTGAGACACGCGATGAACGACTTCACTCGCGACCGTCGAATTGGCTTGTCGTATCATTAAGGGGCCCGCCGTAGGTGTTTCAGCAAAGTCAGTTGGTGGGGGGACTTCGAGTCTCTCTTTCCCCACCTTGCCAGAGCATTCGACGTTTCTAGCCGCCATTGTTTTCAAGACAGGAATTATGGCCGCAGCCCAACAAATACGTACAGTAGGTGGCAAAACGCATGAATGCGTCGAAATTTACCAGTGTTTTCTACTCACTTGTAAATGTCAACACCGTTACGTGGAACCAGTATCTATACTGATACAGAAGACCTTTAGGGAAATTAGAAGTATAAATAAAACATTGAACGCAATATGGCATTCTTCAGAAATAGCAATTTTTCAGAAATGATGGAAATGCCGAGAACGTCAAAGTGGTTGTACTTTAGTAGGCTTCAATTTTCGATGTACATAAACCCTGGTTTATGCGAAAAAAACGGACAAAGTACGACAGAATAAGTGGAATAATCTTTGACGATAATCTTAAAGTTAAATTTACATCTAAATGCCATTTAAAGAATTAGTGCAATTTCGGATTAAGCGGTTTGCTATCAGTCCGCATTTCCAGTATGGAGTCCAAAACGGTTTCTTGAGGAATCCTGGTGGTTTTTATGTTTTTACATTAATTGAGACGTAGTTGAATAAGGTAGACAGGATTTTGTTGGATTTTGCCGAAGGAAACAAATGTTTTCATAAGGTCACACGTTTCCCGGCCGATCGGTAACTAATGCATTTAAGTAGACTTTTCAGATGTGATCGTAAATGTAATGTTTTGTTGCAAAGAAGATGAACACACGATTTCTGCGACTGTAGGTGTATTAGTCTGAGCTTTCGGTCTCGTACAGGAGGCCATCGTCGGAGAGAGAATACGGCATCAAATGAGCAGTTTTTGCAGTCAAGCCATGAAGGTGAGGATCGACTAGACGTGGGAGAACAATCGGGTGTCGTTTATCAGATCCCTTCTCGGGACTGTACTCGCCACTACACAGGACAGACCGGACGACAACTTAGCTCACGAATAACGGAGCATAGACGGGCGGTCCAGAGAGACGACCCGTTGTCTCCGGTCGCCAGTCACACCCTGGAGGAAGGCGTGCACGTGGATAATAGCGCTGGCCAGCAATAAGGCAGGACGAGTACTGTTGGAGGCCTGGGTGTCTGACACCAATTCTATCAACAGACACGTTGACATACTCCCCCCTGCCATCACGCGCTCCGTCCCCGCGGCCAAGAGCCGAGACCTAATTTCCGGCCAAGGGCGTACGTCGCCAAGGCTGCAGTCACGCTGCCGTGGGACGGCATGGGACTCAGCCTCTGCACTTATATCCCCCTCCCTTCATGGCTTGACTACAAAAACTGCTCATTTGATGCCGCATTCTCACAGTCTCTGACAATGGACTCCTGTACGAGACCGAAAACTCCGATTTATACACCTACTGTTCAAGAGATCGTGTGTTCATCTTCTTTACAGCATGAACCTGAAATTCGCATATTTAATTCCATACTATTTTGTGAATATAAAGAGAACGTTTTTTTCCATTAGATAGGGCTTGAAATATTGCTGAGTACTTTATAATCTACAAAGTAACATACTTCTTGAGGAAATTTACGAAATGGCACGTTTTCAGACATTCTTTTGCATGTAGATGATCGCTTTGGTCAAATTTGAAGGCCACCCAAACATGAAATCACATCGTCCAACATAATGGGAGTCCACAACAAAAGCCAACAAGGATTATCAGTAAGTTTCTGTGAGGCGACGCTATCAGGCCAGACAGGACCTAGCAAGTACTCTCACTTAACTGAGCGTTGGTGTTTTCTTACTTATGCAAATTACCTGCAAGGGTAATGTTTATGGCCGAGTTTCTTTACTCCGGCGAGCACTGGTATTGAGCAAAAGAATTAAACATCCACAAAATGTGTGGCATCAAAACTGCTGATCATCCATATTGTCACAAACAGAGGCATTAAACAGAGGCATTAATTTTACCACTCAGTGAGCACAGGGGAGGCCAGGGAGGGAACATTTTGGCCCAGAAGTTGAACAGTCACTTTTTGTGTCAAATCGGTGCGAGAACGCTGTTCGTCCAACTATGTTTTCAAGTGGTGGAAGTCGGGTGGACTTTTTTCGCCGATTCCGTTGTACCTCTTGTGCTTATGTCTATGTAGGTGCCCTTTATGTGCATACAACCCAAGCCGCCCGTTAGCTGGAAGCAGGACTTTGCTGAAACGAACTTCGGCAAGGATATGATTTATGGTTGCGGTCGCCTACTCAGGCTTGAACGAAAGAGCTGGAAATTTAAGAGCTTTGTGGTTTCACAAGTTCTGATCGTCCATATTGTCACCAATTCAAAGAGGATACTATTTTTACCATTAAATTATTATTGTAAATGAATTTAGGCATTATCAAAAAGGTGTTGGATTGTTGTATTTTTACTCCGATGACTACCTTAAGGTATCTTGACCACCTTCATGAAACAGCCACCGCGGGGTCTCTTTAGTTAGCACAACTTCTCTCCGGACTAAGTAACCCCCGCTATAAACCATACTCATGTCAAATGACACATCAGAGGCAGT